AACCAGAGGACCACAGGACCAGGGACCAAAGGACCACGGGAGCAGGGAACCAGAGGACCACAGGACCCGGGGACCAAAGGACCACGGGACCAGAGGACTGCAGGACCAGAGGACCAGAGGACCGCAGGACCACGGACCACCGGACCAGAGGACCGGAGCCTGTCAGGACTCGAGCACCAGGCGAGGCCTTGGGCGCAGAGGGCAAGTTACTACTACTACTACTACTACTACTACTACTACCACTACCACTAGTGCTACTACTCTGTCTACAAATACTTTTTTGATGCTTATCAAATTTTGTCTTGATGCTTATCAAATTTTTTTTGATGCCTATGCCCAGGGCACCATGCACCGGCCAGTAGGTGACATTGCCTCCACGGCTTCTTCTACAGCTTCTTCACGGTCAGTCACGATCTCGTGCACCACCTCTTGCATTCATACTCGAGGTTGCGCCGATCTGTTTTCGCGCTCGAAAGTCGTCGCGGCGTAATTAAGTTTTTCCAAGCCACATCGCGGTAAATCCAAAGACAGGTCTTGGGCGAAAACAGCTGGGCAATTGCACTTCACTTGGCCTGTCACATGCAGTTTTCCGGCCAAGCAACGACGAGCAAAGCAACGACGACCAGAAAGATACCTGCAGTGTCTGCGACAGTCGTCCAACTCGCAGCTGTTACACAGCGTTTGGGACGGAATCGGAGCATCGGTTTCGAAAAAAAAGGTGGAGCTGCAACATAACATTTGGCAGCTGAGAACCCCGCACAAGCGAAGTTCTGAAGACTCCTGAATGAGACTTTCCACCGCAAGCATCCCATGTCAAAATCGTTACCATCTGCAACGAGCCATTCGACGGGAAACTGCAAACTTGCAACCGCGACTCCCACCAGTGAACTTGGTCGCGAAAATCCCATTCAGACCACAACTGTTTGCAGTAGGTCGTGGTCTTTTCATCTGCCTGGTCACTGAACCAAGCAGGCGGAACTCTTGCTTGATTCTTCTTGAATCCCACTGCCTGAGCCTCGAAGAAATCTCGAAGCACTGCGCCCTTGTTGACTCGCAGAACATCCCTCGGCTCACGCATACCCGTTCCCCGACACTGCCAACATAAAGACACGGCGGAGTCCCCCAAAGTCATCTTGCTTCTGCCAGGTGGCTCGCATTCCTCCGTCGATGTTTTTAGAGAGTTGTAGCAACCACAGCGGCTGATGAGCGAACTCCTGAGAAGGGGGCTCTCTCAACACATGTCACTACCACAACATGCCACAATTATGTGCACAACTGAGACATGGGCGTTTCGTCAGTGTCAGTCAAGGAGGCGCGCGCCAAACATCTGACGAACAGAGAGAGGAGCACGAAAGAGAACACTCTGGGTTCCCTTCTGAGTAAGTCGTCTCTCACGTGAAGTTCCAGGAACCGTGCTCGAACAGCTTCGTGGTGGCTTCAGAAACTTTGGTTGAGCAGCTGTCCGTGCCTTGGATCTTCCCGCATCTGAGAAGAAACTAACAGAGAGCAAAAGTAAATGTAAGTCGACAGAATACGGTGCCAACTGCATGTGGTGACTGAAGCTGCCCAGGCCCGACCGCACTGGTGGACCGAATGCAGGTGGCAGCGGCGGAGTCGCGGACATCGCCCGATCTTCCGGTACTCCAGTTGCAACACACGGTCTCCAAAAGCTGTACCACAGTCTACAGTAAAATTGAGGGGCCGGTATACCGCAAGCAATCTTGAAGATGGCAAAAATACGGTCAGTGCTCATGGACCTGATTCAGACATTGAGGAGTGATGGCTGGCTAGGCAAGCAGGAAATAGAACGATTCAACTAGCAAAGAAGGTGTGGAAATTTTCTAGATGCCTCACTCTGATGAGGTCCCACTGGCAGAGGACGTCTTTGTCACAGGACGCACACGAATCACGGCCAAGCAAACATTGGGGTCGGAGCCGACCCAGCCCGGCAGCAGGTCCGGTTCAAACACCTGCAAACCTGATCTGTAGAACACTTCCTTGCGGCGTGCTTGCAGTATGCAAGACTTCAGCTTCAGAAGAAGTCGACGACGACGTCTCCTCCTCCAAGGCTTAATCACTTGCGGGGAGAGATAGTGAACTTCGATTCGTGCAACAAGTACGGCCGACATGGGCTGTGTGGTATGCATACGAGCTGTATCTTTATCTGTCCTGAGGGCTTCTCGTTAAGTTTGGCCGCTTCGCGCTCGTCGCCCGAGTCCATCCAAGCGGCTTCAAACTTGTCATCTGAGCACAGGAGGGGATTTGACGGGTTGAAGGTGTCCCCGTGATGTTGTGATCCCCCAAAACCCAAGGAGCCCTAACTCCAAAAGAAATGAAAACCCGCAGACAAACGGAGCCGCCTTCCGGCTCCTCCGAAGGGCTGCTCGGAGCCTCACGGCTTGGAGATCTGCCCAAGGTCGCAAAGGTCCCTGGACTGAGCCATGGACAACAACGGGCGAGGGGCTCCGGTTCCTCTTTGCGCGAGAGGCACAAGGCTCTATCCGAATCGGAGCTGCGGTCTGGCCTCAGAACTGACGCTCGGGCGACAGTGCCACAAGCCGTGCTAGAAAAGGAGGGTTCGTCTTATTGTCTTAGATCTGATCAGGGCCCCCACCCACAGCGCAGGAGCCCAAAGCCTGCACGGCCGCTTCAAGTACCGCTTCCTCGCAATTACCCAAGGAGGATGCCAGTGGCGAGCGCCTTCTCCACAACCTCTTTGGCCTCTTCGTCCGTTCGCTGGACACCCTTGAGAGCATGGCGACAGCGGATGACACTATCCCGCAGTGCAAGGTTCATAAAGCCGCTTGCCAGCAAAAGGGACGATTGGAGCAAAGAGCTTGCGCAATCTTGACAAAGCGAAACAAGCCTAACTAAGATGCTCCCAGTGTGCACCCTGGCATTCACGAAGAGTCGACAACATGATGCGACTGTACTACTCGGGCTGTCAGCGTGTGCCTGCCATCTCTTCATGCCAGCATGACGCTTGCTCGGCCTCGGCATATGCTGGCAAATGCGTGACGAACCATCCATTTTTCAATGCAAACAGCGCACTGTGCACACTTGGGCTATTGCTTGCACTGCTGGGAGCTGCTGTTCAGCGTTGTCACGGGCCCCGTGTTCCCAGCAGGTTTCTTGGCCTTGTTGGTCATGCCAAGCCTGGGCCGGGAACGCGATGCATTCGAGAGCGTTGTTTTTGTGGCTCACAAACGCTAGTGATGACTTTCGCTGGAGAGTCGGACTTTTTGACATGCACGGTGAACCAGTTCAGCAGAAGTCTTACGAGGCAAGCTCGTGGCTATGGTGTTGCAGCACTTTGGCCTGTCCTTGAAGCTCCTTTCTACGAGCAGATGTCAATCTCACTGTACACTGGGACGAGGCACACGAAAGCCTTTCTCAGCTTGGAAACGTCATGCGACGTCCATTGCATGTAGTGTGCCTGCTCACGCCTGCAAAAACTGGCTAAAACTAAGAAGCCCTCAGGCACCGAAACCTGCTGGAGACTGAGCCTTTCTCCACTTGCGTTCCAGCTTGGCCAGAAGCTCCTCATGTCGTCAGGCAGGCAAGCTGAGGAGAAGCCGTCAATGACAGCCCAACACAAAAAAATCCAAGTGACCGGAAAGTCACCAATGGGGTCAATGATCGGACGACAGCGCTTTGCCTCAGATGCAGCACTTTGCAGCATCACGGAACACATGGATCTTGCAAAGTCGATATGTGCTATTAGCACGATGTGGCCGCAATAATCATTGCGAAGCTGCAGCCGGAACTGCTTCTTTGGCGCTAAGCCCTGCGAAGTGCATCAAGCAGATGCAGCCTGACTTTGTTGCAACTGATGGGGTCTCGATGTAGCACAAGGTTGAAGCTTTGATGTGCTTGGTTTGAACTCAAACTCAGCCCAGAGAAAGGCTAAAGGCGACAGAACAGTCCTTCAATGACGCTCACAGACCCGAGCTACCTGTAGTTCCTGCCCGATGAGCACCGGCCAAACAGTGGACCATCACGTTCCTTCCACTGGCCAACGCTGCACCTGCAACTCAGCTCTCTCGGAGGACTTCGAGGCTTGCAGAAACAACGCGACAGCTTAAGAAACAAAGCAAGCTCCGGCACCAACCCAATCCAGCATCGGCTGAACAAATCGCGCTGCATCAGCATCAGTTTTGACCAGCCGGTGGAAGCCAGAAATGTCAAATCTGAAATAAGTGATAGGGCTGCCGGGAGTGTTCTCATGGTAGTTGGGCATATTGTCCGTACAGTTCACAACATGTGTTACTCCGTTCTTCTGCAGCAAGGACAGGTTTGAAGCAGCCGTCTGGTTGCCCACATAGAAGACAGCTCGCGTTTCGGGATGTTGCCACAAGGCGTCCATCGCGTTGTACGGACCATTCGATATGATCGAAGGATCCAAGTTCAAACGCGCCCACAGCTTCCTCGCCTCGCAAGACACACGTCTCATCAGGCATCTTATTTTCCGCTTCGAGAAACATAAACTCACGCAACGATCCGCATGCCTCCTCGTCGAAATCCATGCCAGTACCCGTCGAAGTTGCGGCGTAGCCGGTCAACCTCGACTTGCCTGGAACGGCCTCCAGGGGACTCGGTACAGCAGCGAAAAGAAAGAGAGAGAGAGAGAGATCAGAGAATCAAAGCAGAAGTGTAGGCGCCTTCCCGCTCAAGAGATCCTCCAAACTGTCTCCAGAGCCTACTTTGGACCAAAGGGCAGCACCGGCTTCTCGCCCTCTGCTCGAGCTTCGGCCCCCAACCATTGCACGGCCGACTGCCGCCGCCGTGGTCCGGATGTCCACGCGGCCTCCACGACCGCGGCTGGAGGCGCGAGGGCCCACAGCTCCAGGGCCCAAGGGGGCGGAAGCATGGCCCGCTCTCAGGGCTGTGCTCATAATGAGCACAAGTCAGAAAAAGGCGGAACTGCTTACTGTCTGAATGTGCGGCCGTGGAGAGTTCAAACGTTCATGCAAATCTAGTGTGCCCTGGAGTGCGCCCTGGAGAATGCCGGAGCATAACATTCAAGAAAAGAGTGATTGATCGACAAAGACATCCGTTTTCTGGAGATCGCTAGGGGCAGTGCTCGTCAGCCACTTTGCGCTCCAAACGCCGTCGCTCCTGCAAGGCCTGCTGATGGGGAGAGAGTGGAGACTCGGAAGTCGCAAGACGTGTCGATTTTTGCAAAATCTTTCTACGCACGTGTGACGAGGATCGGGGTTTCAGGACTGTGATGGCGACAAAGAATCATGAGGCATATCGGATCCAGGCTTTGACCCAGCTGCCCTAGAGTCTACAGCAGAACCAGAATCGTCCTTCCCTGCCTCAAGCGCCTTTTCAGATGCATCTGCAGTGCCACGACCACGTGGCTTGGCAGCCTCCAGTCGCGGGTCCTGGCAGAGTCGGAACTGATGCGACAAAGAGTCTGCCGAGCCCAGGCACCCAAGCCTCGCCGTTCTTCGGCGTTTTCAGGAGCTGCTTGGCGCTTTCGGACAGGCCCGGGGCCTCCTGAGAAAGAGAGTCTTAGTCTTTCCAGCCACAGGAAATTCCTCGCTTGTGGACGTCCTCTTTCGCCCGCTTCTTTCGAACCCAGAGGCCCTTCTCATTCAGCTCCAGAGACTGTCAAGAGTCCAAGGTGGTGATTAGCTTTTGACAAAGCACAACTCCCAGCTCCCTCCGCAAGTACTGTCGGCTGCACTTGATCCACTTCGCCACGTTGCAAAGTCAGAAGGCCGCTATCCTGCCCGAGCAGCGCATGCACAGCATCCAGCATGATACAGCAGAATGAGAAGACCTCTTATGGACCATTGGAACTAGCCGGAGTATAGATCACTGAACCAACCGGATCCAAGCTGACCTTATCCTTCGGAGCATGCGAAAGAATTTGCACCGCTGGCCTCCTGTTTACCACCAAATGTGCCTTTCGCACCCCAAAACACTTCGCCGGGCTTGTACTTCCGTTCTAAGCGGCCAGGTCATGGAAGCACCGATTTTCACCGTCATGCGGCTCGGGGAGCATCTCCAAGGCCCGGACTGTCTTGGTCGCGAGTCTGTTCTGGATTCGACCAAATACCGGTTTCCTTGCCTGCCACATCGTCTGTGAAATGGGGGATTCCTAGCTCAGATGAACGACCAGACAACACGACGGTGACAGTTGGAAACTGCAGGCAAGCGGGCCCCATGTTTGAGCTTTGTCGAAAACCTCGCGCTTCTTCTTCCAAAGCCTCCAGTAGCTGTCTCGTCTGGCGAAGCTCATTACGATGGACGGCGCCAAATTCGCAACTTAGATTGTGGCTTGTTTTCATCCTGGTACAACTCTTCTGACCGTCTTGCAATCCTGACCATCGCACAGCGATGGACCGAAAATCAATTTCAAGCCCACAGCCAAGTTTGAGGTCTGGACGGATTTAACTCTTCCTTCTTCTCCTTAGGGTTGTTCAGATCCTGGCTGCAGAATACCCGGCAGTCTCCGACTACAGCGTGCGCCGTGCTGATGTGCACATACAAAATACTGCATACGGTTCGCCCGCCTTTGGAAGCAATGCAAAAGGCGTGTCAAATTGACGGTGCTTGCGAAGAGACTCTTCGTCTTGTTCAAATCGAGCCTTGCAGAAAGGGTGCAAACATCCCATCATGGTTTAAAACTCTCACGACCGCCGACCTTCTCTGGATCCAATACCGGCACGAAGCTCGGCATGGCACCCAAAACCAACACAACACTGATGTTTTAGATTGGCCAGTTAAGCAAATTTGCATGCAGGCAAGGGCAAGCAGTGGTTCCAGCAAATGCTGGCTGGCTGGTCGGTGACGTGCCATGATGACATGACAACTTTGTCATGGCAACACTGCGGCAACAAAGAACGCCAAGAACTTCATGTTTCCCCTACATAAACATGTTCACCAGTCGCCTTGTCCTAATTGTCCTAATTCACGCTACACATAAAATGCAATGATTAAGTTGATTGTTGCTAGATTGTACAAGCAAGCAAGTGGTACGATTAACCTGCAAGTTAGTTGCTCGTTGCGAGGAATGCAAAAACAATTATATTGCAAGTTAACTGTTCGCTGGCTTAATTCTTCGTGTTCGTATCAGATTCCTCTTATTAGTACTGGTATTCCGCTTGTTGCTATACGTGCTCCTATCATCAACATAGTCCTCTTATTTGTACTGGAATTCCTCGTAGTGCCAGTACTCCGCTCATTAGTGCTAATAACTGCTAATACTCTTTTTATGTTGCACCCCACGTTTCACCTTCCTGCACAAGGCCGAGCAAGTGCAACTTCTCTTGCTTCAGGAACATGAACTTGTGGGCCAAACCACAATCTTCTGCCTGTGGCAATGCTCCAGCACCGTCCGGTGCTGTTTTGAAAGGACGAAAATTTCAAGTCAATGCGCTCTTCACTAGACTCACTAGAGTTTTCCACCCATGCACGAGCCGTTGCGGTTAAATCTTGCTTTGATGAAGCAGAACAAGACAGCACATGCGAGACATACGCAGATTTGGGTGCCATTTGCCCCTCGATCAGATTGCGGCGAGAAGCAAAAATGAGCTGAGTAGAAAAAGTGAATCTGACTCCAAATATGACCCATGCCAACAAAACCAAAGGCGAATTCTTTTTGGCATTCTAAACAGAAGGCTTCTAATTGCAGTGCTTGCTAAATCTGAACAAAGTCTCGGACTTTTCACTGCAACTCCAAGCTAACGGTCTGAGAAGTAACGCGAATTCACGCGGTTTCAATGTAACTCGACTTTAAAGCCACCACTGTACACGTGCACGCATACCGCACAAATCATGCCAAAAATCGTTTGCAGTCACCCAAATCCTAACAATTTCGGCACCCAGAAGCACGCTTGTGGGAAGCGCTGCAGAATCTGAACTTCGTCTCATTTTCGCCAGGCCTACACAAGCTAACGCACCTTCAGCTTGGTCCTGGGCCCTGAACCGGAAGCGTGCTCACCCGAAGCTGCTACCAAGAGTCATGTCATGATTCAAGCAGCACCGCCACCTTCCTTCCTCTCTTTGCTTTGAAACTGAAGGAAACGGCAGAAAGCAGGAGGAACCACAGGGCAGACCACAACAAACAGTGGAAAACAATGGGACCTGCAGGAAATTAAACCTGTGAACTACAAAATTCAAAATTGGAGTTTTTTCGAGCAATCCAAACCCTAACCTTGGGTTTAGAGTTCAACTATTGGGAACTTTGGCACGCAAGGTAATATCTGTTTAACCAACTTTCAACTGGGGTTCAATTCAACCTGAACTCTTAAATCTGAGGTTGGAGTTTGGGTAAACCTAAACCTGAACCGGAGAATTGGAGTTGAACCTAAAACAAAAGTTTAAAAGTTCGAGTTTATTCCAACCCTAATCTGAGGTTAGGATTCAATCCGAACCCTAACTTGGGGTCAGAGTTCAACTAGTTGGAACTTTACGCACGTAACGGGAGACGCATGCATGTCGTTGTGCGTGGACTTCCAGATTGAGCAACTTAAGACACCCCCCGAGGCACCTCCAAGCCAGCTGTGCACTCTTCTAAGGCCACGTTCGATTGGCACTCTTGCGGCTCTTTAGGCAACATGTGATAGACGGAGGACTTTTGAGTCACTAGTTTGGGATATTTTGCACTTTTTTACCCGTTTCGTGCCTCGTTTCAAAACGGTGTCCCTCAACTAGCCGCTTTTTGCCCCAAAAAACTTCTCTTCGTGCGCTTCGTAACAAAACGGCGCCCTCTCAACTCTCACTTTTTGCGCACAACACGTTGACAACATCTCTCTCCAATGGAAGGCAGTCACGCAGAAGGTGCGGAAGCTGCCCCACAAGCTCCGTCAAGCTTTTTGCAAAAGCGCACGAATGTGGCCCTGCAGGCTCCAGCAAGGGTTTTGAAGTTCGTAATAAAACCCGAACTCGTTGTACGTTATCAACTCGTCATAACACCAATGTAGGCAGTCATGCAGAAGTGTGCGGAAGCTGCCCTACAAGCTCCCGGCAAGCTCCACCACGCAAAAAAAAAAAAACCAGCGAGCGACGATTTTGCGACAGCGCACGAAAGCGGCCCTGCAGCTCCCCGCAAGCGTTTGGAAGTTCACGGCAAAAACTTGAACTACAAATTCCCTCATACACCATTGCCAAGC